CTCTCTCTCTCTCTCTCCCTCTCTCTCTCTCTCTCTCTCTCTCTCTCTCTCTCTCTCTCTCTCTCTCACACTCTCTCTGCACTCTTTCACCCTCTCCCCCTCTCTCTTTTCCTCCGTTCAGTTTTGTCAGTGCAAGCGCCCTCAGTGTCTCTGCTCTAAGGGAAAAACACCTGAACAGTCCTTCTTTTCTCAGTTTCCTCACTGTTTTGTAATATTATATGTAGATTAAAGTCTCAGTGATCTCAGGAATTCTCTGGATTTGAAGCTGGATTTAGAAACTCTATCAGGACAACATGCTGGAAAGGCTTCAGTCTGCCCTGAAAACGGTGAAGGACACGAAACGTAAATACTATCTTACCTCTTATGGACTCTAATAATATCTGTATTCTGCTTAATTACTGACCTCGGTACTGTTTACTTTACAAACAAATTAATTATCTGCAGCTGTATCAAGTTTAGTGGTGATTTAGTGGATTTTAAACATTTCCTGGAACATACGTTTCCTAAAGCTTTGTGATTTGTTTGTTTGAACTGAGATAGGGTGTATTCAGGTAACAGTTTGTTCATGTGAGAGAGAACAGGATGCGTGTTTTGCATGTGTTGCATTGTATCCGTAGTCTTTGAGCTCTCCAGGATAGTTCTTCTGAAGTGCTCCCCTTCTGATTACATCTCGGTACTTTTTATACTTCAGAGCCCCCTGGAGATGGGGTTCACCTGGGCTCTCACGTGCCTGAAATATTTCCACTGGCAGTGCCAATGAAAGGCTTAATTCTTCTTGATGTGTTGGACCAGTGAACAAAGAATCATCCACACTGTAGAAGGGTCCAAATTTCTGCTTACACACTTCAATAGCAATGAACAGAAAAAAAACCTTGAAGCATAGTGTACTCTATAGTATTTATATGGAACTCCAGGGTATTTTCAAGAATACCATTGTACGTCCATGGTACAAGTGAAACAAGTCCCTTGGTACTACAGTACATGGTATATTCAAAATACTGTGGTAGTCCCATGTTAATTTTTGGGACCGTTTTTTTTTAGATATGGTGCCTTGATATTCCTTGGATATGGTATTACCATATTTTTGTGTATTGTTTATTCATTACAAAAAAGCACTGTGGTAGTACCATGGTACAGTGATAATATCACATGGTAACTAGGGTTGGGTACCGAAACCCGGTACCAATATGGCTAACTCATAGAGGTCGAGCCCGGCCTTACATAATCGTTCTTAGAGCTTCGCACAGCCTCGGAACCGAGAGCGTGCCGGAAGCTAAGCCCAGACGTGGGAACTTCAGTGGGTTTGAGACATAGTCAAACCCAGCAAGGATTAAATCCAGCCTTAGGGCGGGGATATGGTTCCTGGAGCGTTTTGAGCTCAGAGAGACAGTTAAGCAGAAAGGACCTGAGCCTGCAAAGCAGGGACGTCTAGGTTGTAGAACCTGACAAAGGTGGACGGCGAGGACCAGCCGGCCGCCGCACAAATTTCTGCAATGGACACACCACTGGACCATGCCCAGGATGAGGCCATGCCTCTCGTGGAATGTGCTCTGACCCCGATGGGGCATTGAAGGACCAAGGAGGAGTATGCAAGAGCTATTGCGTCAACTATCCAACGGGATAGTCTTTGCTTTGTGACCGGAAACCCCTTGGTGCGGCCACCAAAGCATAAAAGGCAGGAGGGGCTCACAGAGAGCGCCTGTAAATCTCCAACTCGCTTAACCGATGCCAAAGCCAATAGCAGAGCGGACTTTAGCGACAGGGGTCGAATATCAGCGGATTGTACCGGTTCAAAGGGGGGGCCTTTGAGCGCCCTCAGAACCATAGACAGATCCCACGTAGGGACCGTAGAAGGGCGAGGGGGGTTCAACCTCCTAGACCCTTTCAAAAATCGAACAACGAGGTTGTTCCTGCCGACCGATATCCCGTCTATAGGAGCATGAAAAGCTGCTATAGCCGCCACATAGACCTTAAGAGTGGAGGGGGTGCGACCCTTATCCAACAGCTCTTGAAGGAAGGACAATATTGAAGATATGTCACATGTGGATGGATCTTCACCACGGTTTGGACACCAAGCGGAGGTACGTAACCATGCCTAGGCTTCAGGACGACCTTGGAGTCGTTAGGGCCGAATTCAAGGCAGGAGGGGCTCACAGAGAGCGCCTGTAAATCTCCAACTCGCTTAACCGATGCCAAAGCTAATAGCAGAGCGGTCTTTAGCGACAGGGGTCGAATATCAGCGGATTGCAGCGGTTCAAAGGCGGGGGCCTTTGAGCGCCCTCAGAACCGTATACAGATCCCACGTAGGGACCGTAGAAGGGCGAGGTGGTTTCAACCTCCTAGACCCTTTCAAAAATCGAACAACGAGGTTGTTCCTGCCAACCGATATCCTGTCTATAGGAGCATGAAAAGCTGCTATAGCCGCCACATAGACCTTAAGAGTGGAGAGGGTGCGACCCTTATCCAACAGCTCTTGAAGGAAGGACAGTATCGAAGATATGTCACATGTGGATGGATCGACCATTTGAGGGCATAGAGGCGCCTTGTGGACGGGGCTCTAGCCTGAGAAATGGTATTTAAGACACCCTCTGGGAGGTTCATAGGTTCCCATCGAGAGGCCATAAGTGTAGGGTTACTTGGGTTGGGGGTGCCATATCGTCATGTTCGCCTGAGAGAGGAGGTCCCGTCTCAGGGGAATGGGCCATGGAGCTGCCGTGAGCAGCTGAGACATCTCTGAGAACCATAGTTGGTTTCTCCAGAGCGGGGCCACTAGAAGAACCTTGTGCCTTTGTTCTCTGATTCGCCTGATGACCTGAAGGATCAGGGCAATTGGGGGAAAAGCGTAAAGGAGAAGGCTGGGCCAATCGTGGGCCAGCGCATCCATTTTCTTCGAAAAATAGATTGGGCAGTGAGAGTTGTCTTCTGAGGCAAAGAGGTTGACCTCTGCCTTCCCGCAGATCTCCCA